ACCTGACAGAAGCCATGATATTTTCAATCGCCTCATATGCGCATGAGAGCTGGACAATGAATAAGGAAGACTGAAGAAGAGGTGATGCTTTTGAGTTGTGGTGCTGGCAAAGAATGCTGAAAGTACCATGTACTTCTAAAAGAAGTAACAGATCTGTTCTGGAGGAAGTGCACCCGAAATGCTCCTTGGAAGTGAGAATGGTCAGACCTCGTCTCACCCACTTTGGTCATGCTGTCAGAAGGGACCATTCCCTGGAGAAGTATGTCATGCTTGATAAGATGGAGGGTCAACAAAAGAGGGGAAGGCCTTCAATGAGAAGGACTGACACGGTGGCTGCGACAATGGGCTCAAGTACAGCAAGGATCATGGAGCTGGTGCGAGATTGGGTAGTATTTCGTTCTGCTATGCATAGGGTTGCTATGAGTTGGAAACAACTCAACAACACCTAACAACAACAACAGTACAAAAGTGCTAGTTTATTTTCAAAAGTACTAGTTTTAAAAGACAACTTCTAACTATTACACTTTGAATTACTAGTCACATATTTTGTCACAAAGAAATCACTAGGACCAGATGCTTTATTGAGGACTTATCTCAAATATTCAAGAAAACAAGTACTTCCAACTTACACAAACTTCTCCAAACAACAGGAAAATAATAAATATATCTCTCAATTTATTTTATGAGTCTAGCAAAAGCTTGATACAACTATTACCTGATAAAGATAGTATGAAAAAGAAAATTTTCACTCAATATCACCCTTGGAAACCGATGCAAAAATCCTAAATAAAACATTAACAAACTGAACTCAGCATAGTTAATACATCTTGACCAATTTAAGCTTATCTCAGAACCATAAGGATGAAATAACATTATAAAGTCAATTAAAAGATTAAAAGAAAACAATCATCTTAATAAACATGGCAAAAGACTCATGATAAAAATTTTTAGCAAAGTGGTAGTATAAGGAAATTCTCCTAAATAGATAAAGAATAACTACAAAAAGCAGTTAACCATCATATATAATGGTCAAACTGAAAATTTTCCTTTTGAGATTAGGAAAAAGACAAAGATGCTACTCTCACCTCTTCTAATCAAAATCATACTATAAATTCTATTCAGCACAGAAAAGAGAGACAGAGAGAGAGAACAAAAACCTTCATTATTGGCAGATACCATTATGTATACGATTCTAGAAATAAATTATTATAATTAGGTATAAGTTAATATACAAAAATCAATTTTGTTTTTTTCTATCAGTAAAAAACAAAATAGAATCTTAAGAAATCACAATTTAAAATAGCATAAGAATTATAAAATATCTAGGAAGAAATTAAAAAATGCATATAGCAGTGCTATGTCAGGGAACTGCCAGCAATTCAAGCTAGATTCAAGAGAGGACACTGAACAAATCATTGCTGAAGTCAGATGCATATTGGTTAAAAGCAGAGAATGCCAGAAAGATGTTTACCGTGTTTTATTGACCATGCAAAGGCATTTGACTGTTGGGATCATAGCAAATTATGGATAACATTGTGAAGAATGGGAACTCCAGAACACTTAATTGTGCTTAGGTAGAAGCCATACATAGACCAAAAAGAAATCATTTGAACAGAACAAAGGGCTACTTCATGATTTAAAATGAGGAAAGACATGCATCAAGGTTGTATCCTTTTATCATACTTAATCAAATACTCTGAGAAGCTGGGGTATATGAAGAGGAATGTCGCATCAGGATTGGAGGAACACTCATTAACAACCTGTGATATGCAGCTAACACAACCCCACTCGCTGAAAGTAAAGACTTGAAAGATTTACTGATGAAGATCAAAGACTACAGCCTTCAGTATGGATTATACCTCAACATAAAGAAAACAAAAATCCTGAAAACTGGACCAATAAGCAACATTATAGTAGAGGGAGAAAAGATAGGCAACATTATGATCAACAGAGAGAAGACTGAAATTGTCAAGGACTTCATTTACTTGGATCTATGATCCTAATGGAAGCAGCAGTCAAGAAATCAAATGATGTATTGCATTAGGCAAATCTGTTGCTAAAGAACTTTTTAAAGTGTTAAAAAGCAAAGATGTCACCTTGAGGATTAAGGTGCACCTGACCCAAGTGATTGTATTTTCAACAGCCTCATACGCATGTGAAAACTGAATAATGAGTAAGAAAGACCGAGTAAGGACCAACGCCTGTGAATTATGGTGCTGGAAAAGAATACTGTGTATACCATGCACTGTCAGAAGAAGAAACAAATCTGTCTTGGAAGAAGTACAACCAAAAAGCTCTCTAGAAGGAAGGACAGAGAGACTTTATCTCATGTATTTTGGACCTGTGATTGGGAGAGACCAGACCCTGGAGAAGGATATTATGCTCGGTAAAGTAGATGGTCAGGGAGAAGAGGAAGGCCCTCAACAAGATGGATTGACACTAAGGCTGCAATAACCATATATGGCTCAAGCACCGTAACAATTGTGAGGATCCCACAGTAACAGGAAGTGTTTCGTTCTGTTACACATGGGGCACCTAAGGGTTGGAACTGACTTGAAGGTACCTAAAAAAAAACAGGAAGAAATAGAATAATGTAATATTTCTGAGGAAAAAAATGATAAAAACTTATATAAAGACACTTAAGAAGATTATTTGCATGGAAAGATAGATTGGAAGAGACAATATCGTAATATTGTCAATTCTGCCCAAGCTGATTTAGAGAAACAATGTGAATATTCTCAAATCATTAATCACAACAGGCTTTTTTTTTTTCTTTCTCAGAATTTTGCTGAGTATGAAAATGTAAAGGGCTGAGAAGAGGCAAGACTTTCTTGTGGCAGCAGAACAAGGTAGTAGAAATCATTTTACCAAATATGAAAATTTATTTAAAAATTAAAATAATTAAAACAGAATAGAGCTGGAAGGTATTTCTTAAGTAAGATGTAAAAACTGCTAAACAGAACAGGAAATATCAAGAAAAGATACCATAAAGATAATAAAAGTCAAGCCATAGAGTGGGACAAGCAAAAACTGGGAAGGAATACAAATGTCTATTAATAGTAGAAAGGATAAATACAATGCATTTATATAATAGACACTACAACAATGCAAATGAACAAACTTCAACTCTAGCTATACTTATGAATCTCACAAATAAAATATTGAGCAAAAGAAGCTAGACAAAATAATAGAAACAGTGTGATTAAAGAACAGGCAGAACTAAACTATTATTTTACAAACACAAAACTGAGTTCTTCCAGTACACTTTTCCTCCTGAAAAGACTTTAAAATTTCCCCTGTTGATTCTACTAAAACTCCATTCTGCTTCACTCAAAGGAATTTGGCTCAGTCTTTATTATTTTAGAGCTCTGATGGTATAGTGGTTAAAGCATTCAGCTGCTAAGCAAAAGGTCAGGAGATCAAACCTGTTAGCTGCTCCACTAAAGAAAGATGAGGCAGGCTGCTTCCATAAAGATTTAAAGCCTGAGAAACCTTATGGGGAAGTTCTACTCTGTCCTGTAGGGTCCTTATGAGTTGGAATCAACTTGATGGCAGTGGGTTTTATTATTTTACTAATAACATTTAGGGGAGCTCTGGTAGCATAGTGCCTAAGGCGCTTGACTGCTAACCAGAAGGCTGGTGGTTCAAACCCACCAGCCACTCCTCGGAAGGAAGATGAGGCAATCTACTTCCGTAGTGATACTGCCTCGGAAACCCAAGGAGGGGTCGTTATGAGTCGGGTCTGACTCGACGGCACATAACAACAACAACAACAGCAGTAACATTTAAAAGACAAATATGAAATAAATATAATTCATGTCCAATGGGATGATAAAAGATGCATCACACTGAAGTTATGAGATAAACAGTTACAAAATTTTTAATAAAATAAATAATAGAACCTATGGCATTTGGGATGGAAGGGAGCTTTCAAGCGAGCTAGTATAACCTCCCATTTGATACTTAAATTTCTTCTGTAATATTACAGTCTCTTTCCTAAAGTTCTCATAATATTACTCAAGATATTAATTTTAAGTTTTAAACATCCATGTATCATGCTGATTGTGAATATTCAGAATTCCTAAAACCTTTTAAAAAAGAAAAACCCAATATTGCTCTATAGCCTCAATACTTCTATTGCTGTATTTGTGCAACTGACTTCTTTGGAGACCAAGTAAAATCTTCACATTTATATCTATAGATATGGCCAAAAAAATATTTCTTACCTTGATTTTCAGGATAAGTAAAAGGAAATTATTAACTTGATTCAGACTTTTCTTACTTTTTGTATTTTTTCCTCAAATTCAGTTTCCTGGACAACACAGGTTCTATATTGCTGTGTATTTCTTGTCTCTATGATAGGACGACTTACCATACTCTTTAAGTTATAACGAGCTACTGAAATTTTACATCTGAACAGAAGATTTAGTTTGGTGATTATATTACCGTACCATGGGTTCTGCTTCCTTAGGAGGTCCTTCCAGGGGAGGAATGTACCACTGAAAACAAAGTTCTTTGTTTATAGCTTGTATTGCCATGCCTGATGACAACACATCTGTGAAAGATGGGCTGGCAAGGAGCCTTGAAGATAAAACAGAGTGTAGAGAAATCTCACGACATAACTAGGGGACAAACAAAAACATCCATTCAGTTGCTGGTAATGAATTCACTCAACATTTAAAACAAAATTAATTGGCTACATTGAAAAACTCTGGGAATTGCCTCAGCTTGTTTTATGGAAGTAGATCGTAAAATTGTCCTTGGACTGTCAGAGAAAATTCTCCTACGGTAAAAAGATGCTTCAAAGGCAAGTGGACTCAACAAATGTCTTTTACTTTTGTGACTGCCCTAGGGTGAAACTCTAAAGGGAGAATTCCCATGCTAGCATTTCAGTCTTACGAGCATCACTAGGTCTGAGAATATCTTGTTTTGTTTCTGGTTTATCCAACGATGCATATACGGAGGGTGTGATTATAATTTATTATTTACTTTCCAATATACTTTTCCAGTGCTATATGTGAAATAATATACCATTTCTTTTCTAAAAGGTTAAATCTGTTGTTCTCCTTTCCTGTGTGGCTTTGAATGACTCTGGTTGATTTATAAATTCAGTGTGTGGTTAGTCTGGGCCGAGCTTCTTTAATGGAACTTGGTCAGTGAATCCAGATTCTTCAAGAAACAAAAATGTGGAGACTGCAATTGGCAATGTCATAAATTACTTACTTAGTTATTAAGGGAGCTAAGAAAGCAAAGCATGGTTGCTAACTACTACAAAAGTAACAGGCTGGGCTGAGAGATAATAATATCTCAAGTTTAAAAAGGACCTCTTCTTTCAAAATCAACTCCTTGTTGTTGCCTAGGTTATGGCAGCTGGGAAGCAGTTTCTCTTTTATACTTTTGGCACCTAAGACATCTCCAGATTCGGTAACCAAGGGTGAGCATGTCAGTGGCCAGAAAGAAATGCCTGGTATTTCTATAAGGCTTTGTCCTTCTCATTATTTCTGAGCCTATTCAAGACAGGATGTAAGACTGTCAATGGAAGTCTTCAAAATGAAATAAAAAAGGAAATAAAGACATTGACCTTTCAAGTTGTCTATTGATAAAAGAAAAAAAAAACATGTCTTGACTGAAAGGTGATATTAAATATGAAAACTTTTCAGAAATGCCTAGAGATGATCATAAAAGAACATGATAAAGTCAAAATCCTCATTTATTACCCTATGATGTTGTAAGTATGGCCCAAATGCACAAGAGGCAAGAAAATTAGTGTTAAATCATTTAAAATGGCAGATTAAGAGTAAATCTATGTCAGATAGTTCACAAAAACTCAGGTAAATAACCCAGAAAAAAATTTTTTCCTTTTTTTTTCTTCATATTCAAATGATTTTCAGAAGGTCTGGCAATGATTTTAATAAAGAATACGTATTTAATTACTATACTAGGTAAAACCAAAAAAAAACCAAACTCACTGCCGTTGAGTGGGATCCAACTCATAGCGACCCCTCCTTGGGTTTCCAAGGCGGTATCACTACGGAAGTAGATTGCCCCATCTTCCCTTCAAGGAGTGGCTGGTGGGCTTGAACCACCAGCATTCTGGTTAGCAGTCAAGTGCCTTAGAAACTATGCTACCAGAGAGGAAAATATGATGATATGTTGTTGTTGTTAGGTGCCATTGAGTTGATTCTGACTCATACCAGCACTGTGTACACCAGAATGAAACACTGCCCCATCCTGCACCATCCTCACAAACCTTGCTGTGCTTTAGCCCATCATTGCAGCCACTGTGTCAATCTAGCTCATTGAGGATCTTCCCCTTTTTCTCTGACCCTTCACTTTACGAAGCATGATATTCTTCTCAAGGGAATGGTCCCTTCTGACCACATGACCAAAGTAGCATATGATCAAGAACCAATGGAATGAAGAAAGAGGTCCAAGCTGCATTGAAGGAGTTGACAAAAAACAAGGCGCCAGGAATTTACATAATACCCACCAAGATGCTGCAACAAATGGATGCAGCTCTGGAGGAAATTACTTGTCTATGCCAGGAAATTTGGAAGATCTGGCCAACTGACTGGAATAGCACATGATTTATGACAAGGTATGCACTGTTTATTAACCTGTAGTTGTTAGATGTCATCAAGTTGGTTTTGACTCATAGCAGCCATATGTACAACAGAACAAAATAACGCCCGGTCCTGCATCATCTTCACACTCCTTGCCATGCTTCAGCCTATTGTTGTGGCCACTGTGTCAATCCATCTCATTGAGGGTAATCCTTTATTTGCTGTCTTTCTATTTTACCAAACATGATATCCTTCTCCAGGGCCTGGTCCCCTCTAATAGTATGATCAAAGTACAGAGATGAAGCCTGGTAATTATCACTTCTAACGGGCATTCTGGCCGAACTCTTTCTAGGACAGATTTGTTAGTTCTTCTGGCAGCCCATGGTATACTTAATATTCTTTGACAATATGGCAATTCAAATGCATCAATTTTTTGGTCTTCCTTATTCATTGTACAGCTTTCACATGCATATGAGGCTATTGAAAATACCAAGGCTTGGGTCAAGTGCTCCTTGATCTTCAAAGTGACATCTTTACTCTTTAACACTTTAAAAAGGTCTTTTGTAGCAGATTTGCCCGGTGCAATATGTCATCTGATTTCTTGATTACTGCTACCATAAGTGTTAATTGTGGATCCAAGTAAAATGAAATTTTGACAACTTCAATCTTTTCTTCTTGTATCATGATATTGTTTATTTGTCCAGCTGTGAGGATTTTTGTTTTCTTTATGTTGAGGTGTAATCCATATTAAAATTGTAGTCTTTGATCTTCATCAGTAATTGCTTCAATCTTCCTTCACTTTCAGCAAGCAAGGTTGCGTCATCTGTGTGTCACAGGTTGTTAATGAGTATCCCTCCAATGCTGATGCCACATTCTCCTTCATATAGTCCAGTTTCTCAGATTATTTGCTCACCATACAGATTGAATAAGTATGGCAGAAGGATACAACCTTAACATGTACCTTCCTTATTTTAAACCATGCAGTATCCACTTATCTCTTCAAACAACTGTCTCTTGGTCTATGAACAGGTTCCTCATGAGCACAATGAAGTGTTCTGGAATTCCTATTCTTTGCAATGGTATCCACAATTTGTTATGATCCATACAGTTGAATGCCTTTGCATTGTCAATAATACACAGGTAAACATCTGATATTCTTTGCTTTCAGCCAAGATCCATTTGACATCAGCAATGATATCCCTAATTCCACATCTCTTCTGAATCCAGCTTGAATTTCTAAAAGTTCCCTGTCAATATATTCTGCAACTGTTTATGTATTATCTTCAGCAAAATTTTACTTGCATGTGGTATTAAGGACATAACTTGATAATTTCCACATTCCATTAGATCACCTTTCTTTGGAATGTGCACAAATATGGATCTCTTCATTTGGTTGGCCAGGTAGCTTTCTTGGCATGAGAGTGAGTGCTTCCTGTATTGCATCCATTTGTTGAAACATCTCAACGGGTATTCCGTCAATTCTTGGCCTTGTTTTTCTCCATTATCTTCAGTGCAGCTTGAACTTCTTCCTTCAATACCATAGGTTCCTGATCATATCCTACCTCCTGAAATGGCCGAATGTCAACCAATTTTTTTTGGTACAATGCCTCTGTGTATTCCTTCCATCTTCTTTTGATGCTTTCTGTATTGTTTAGTGTTTTGCCTATAGAATCCTTCAATATTGCAACTTGAGGCTTGATTTTTTCTTCAGTTCTTTCAGCTTAAAAAATGCCAAGCATGTTCTTCCTTTTTGGTTTTCTATCTCCAGGTCTTTGCACATTTTATTATATTGCATTACTCTGTCTTCTCAAGCTGCCTTTTGAAATCTTCCATTCAGCTCTTTTATTTCATACTTTCTTCCATTCACTTTAGCTATTCTTCATTCAAGAGCAAGTTTCAGAGTCTTCTGACATCCATTTTGGTCTTTTCTTTTTTCCTGTCTTTTTAATGACCTTTGACTTTCTTCACATATGATGTTCTTGCTGTCATCCCACAACTTGTCTGGTCTTCGGTGACTGGTGTTCAGTGCACCAAATCTATTCTTCAGATGGTCTCTAAATTCAGGTAGGATATACTCAAGGTCATATTTTGGCTCTCATGGACTTGTTTTAATTTTCTTCAGCTTCAATTTGAACTGCATAGTCTGTTCCATGATCAACTCCTGGCCTTGTTCTGACTGATGATTTGAGCTTCTCCATTGCCTCTTTCCAAAGATGTAGTCGATTTAATTCCTGTGCATTACACCTGATGAGGTCTACATGTATGTCATTGTTGTTAGGTGCCAGTGACCCCATGCACAGCAGAACGAAACACAGCCCTGTCCTGCGCCATCCTCACAATCCTTGCTATGCTTGAACCCATCACTGCAGCCACTGAGTCAATCTATCTTCTTGAAGGTCTTCCCCTTTTTTGCATGACTCTATGAAGTATGATATCCTTCTACAGGGACTGGTCCCTTCTGACAACATGATCAAAAATACAAGAGATGAATTCTGGCCATTCTCGCTTCCAAGGAGCATTTGGACTATACTCCTTCCAGGACAGATTTGTTCAGTTTTCTGGCAGATTTGTTCATTCCCATGGAACCAGCACTCAAGAAATCAGATGTCATATTGCAATGGGCAAAACTGCAGCAAAAGGCCTTAAAAGTGCTAAGGAGCAAAGATGTATACATGTATCATTGCTTTTTATGTTGTTGAAAAGAGGCATTTGCAATGAATAAGTCATGGGTCTTGCAATGTTCTATCATAGGATCTCTGGAGTCATTTCTTTCACCAAAGCCATATTTTCCAACTACTGATCCTCCTTCTTTATTCCCAAATCTTTCATTCCAATCACCAGTAATTATCAATGAATCCTAATTGCATAGTTGATCAATTTCAGACAGCAGAAGTTGGTAAAAATCTTTAATTTCTTCATCCTTGGCATTAGTGGTTGGTGTGTAAATTTGAGGAACAGTTTTATTAACTGTTCTCCCTTGTATGTGTATGGACATTTTCCTATCACTGACAGCATTGTACTTCAAGATAGATCTTACAATGCTCTTTTGGATGATTAAT